ATGTTGTCACTGGGTACTCTTGAGAAGAGCCTGGCTCTGTCTTCTCTATAAATTTTCTTTAGGTCCTCAAAGACAGCAATTAGATCTTCTCCGCCTTCCTTTCTCCAGGTTAAACTGTGCCAGCTCTCTTCATACATCATAAAACTATGTCCCCTGAACCTTGACATTCTCCCACTGTTGTTCTCTCTCTCCCCATGTGGCCCCAGGCTGTAAAATTTCGTTCCCATTTGCTCTTGTGCGAGAATAGGCATTTTGCTCACCCTCTAGCTCAGCACGCGGATGAAAGCCCCACTCTCCCATTCTAACCTTTCATTTTTCCAGATATAGCAGATCCTTTAGGCCTCCTCCTATGGGACTGGCTTCTCAGTTTCCTGATCAACTTCGCAGTCTTCCTGATGAGAGTGTGAATTACTCTCATATCCCGTGACCAATTAAAACATTCACATTTTTCATTCTCCTCTGCCACATCCACCTGACAAGCCTCTAGCACCAACAGAGAAATTCTTGTCATCAGTCATCCTCTGTCTGACCTTGATTTTTTTTTTTTTCTTTTTACCTTTTTCATTTCTGTCATACAGGTGCTGCCATTTATCAGGCATCTCCCTCCTCTTCAAAAACAAAGCCTCCCAGATATGCAGCAAATATATCACTATGTGCCAGCCTTTTGATGGGATCAGAGGGAAGAGAAACAAGGTAATTTATGATATTGAAATCTCATAATGGAAGAACAATACTAATAACTTGCCACCAGACAAGTTCTTTCTCCATAAGAAAAAACTATATCCTCCCCCTTATGTTACAAAATGAGTAACTGATTAGTCTTGCACTATCCCCTCACCTCAGCAATCTTAATTAATATATGGTAATTAACATATTATGGCACATTAATTGTGCACAAAAATCCTAGTATTAGCTTTACTGCATGTCTTTAATCTCAAAAAAAATAAAATAAAAAAGCCAGGAAGATACCATGATAAAAATGCTGTTCAGTATTTTGTTGAAGTCATGGAAGAAATGTGAAATAATGCAACTTGAATATCATAGGAAATATTAATAGATTTTAATAAAGAAGTTGACAACAAAGTGAGCTCCCCGAATCAAGACTCTAATCACTTAACAGCAAAATTTCTCTTTTTGTTTTATCTCTGATCTTCTTTTCCCTCTTGATACTTTCCACAAACATTGACCAGATAAAATAACCATCTAGAAATTTCTTGGGGAATGACTTTCCAGGACTAAGATTAAAGCATGCAAGCATGAGGCAGGGAGAAAAGAAAACACACACACGCAAAATCTTTACAACGTCTAATTCAGTAGGCATCAGTAAAGATTTTTGCCTCAAGTTATTTTCTTTGTTTCCCATTTCTTTATGTAGTTAAACCAGCAAGTATAAATGTCTTCAGACAAAATTATCTTGCATCAAACAAATATTGACATGACTTTTAAGGTCAATTGCTGCAAGGCCAGGATTTAAAAGCAAATTAAATTTGATGTATGCTGTTTCAAAGGTCATTTAGAAAGGTATATGCTGCACCTATTTTACAATACAATCCCCAGGGAGGTAAACATATTGAATGCTGCAAGGAAACATTGCAGTAATGAAGATAATTATGGTAATAGGCAGGTAGGTAATAGAGGCTTAATTAGATCAGAACAAGCATATTATTCACAGAAAAAGAAATTTCATTTCATTCAATTAGAAGTGAATTATAACAACTCAGGTCAGTATTTATTTCAAGTTGAGAGATACTATGCTTTCTTGTATCTTTAAAGGGACTGAAATATCACAGCAAAAGGCAGTAAAAATATTTCATTGTCATCCAGCATAGTATCCAGTGCCACTGCATATGAAGGTCTTATCTGCCCCAGAATATTGCCATTCTGATAGAGGCTGTGCACACACCTAATTTCCTGATTTTCCTTTCTCCATAATTTTCAGTAGTAGAAGTGAGAAGACCTGAATCCTTTATTATTACATGAGTAAGTTAAGGAAAAAATAAATGTCCATTCCTGAAACATGCTCTCACAGCAAAGAATTTTTATGAGATGAGCAGAGGAAGAAGTGAGCGGAACAACCCTGAAGATGGTCAATGTCCATGTGAGGTCATACACAGTGCTGCAATGGCACTACTCAGCTTTGCCACTGGAAAAAGCAAGCCCACCTTCCCTCAGACAACTGTTCATAACACCCTTTTCTGAATTATTCGCATTTGAAATGTGAATTTACTGCCTTAAAAATATGTATCTGACTAGCAATCAGTATGTAACTTAGAGTGCCATTGCTCTGCTTTGCCACATGACTCTGAAAGGTGAACAATAAAGAGATCAAGGTGGAAAGATATTGCTCAAAATTTCATTTTTCTGTATCCCAGACATCCATTTATTTTTGAGAGAGTCTGATTTATTAGCACCTTCTGGCCCTTTGTATAGTTAAAACTGACTTTATGAAATGCATGATGACACAGCAGAGCAGAACAGAAGAGAAAACCAGCACATGATGCTGCAGGGCTGTGCCTTTAGCGTGGGAAGTCCAACAGCTCTCCTCTCATTGCATCATTTAGCTTACAGAAGTGGCTTTCACTTTTCTCTCCAGTGTCCTCTGCAGGTAGCTCAGCGTAGGGTTAAGACAGTCACATGTACTGTCTTGAAAGTACTTGTCTAGACAAATACCTTTTTCAGGCAGTGTAGGGTACCACCCCTCACCTCTTATCTTGGCCAGCCAGACAGTAGGCATTAAGCAAAGATGTGACAGTTCTGATCCTCTGTAAGGTAATAGAAATGATAACCATTCAGAGACACACTCACTGTCCTTCCACTGCTTCTTGCACAAAGGTAACTGAAAACACTTCTAAAAATGAGGCTCATTTTCTTTGAAACAAATCTGCAACAATTCTCCAGAGACTAGTCCAGTACTGCTAATGGAAATTCTGTAAGCTCTAAATTGGCTATTCTCATGTATTTATTTATTTTTTTAAATTTTAAATTCACTTCTATTACAGCCATAGGCCACTCTATTGGTTCTGAAAATAAGATGTTTTACTGTTTTACTGTTCATGACTGAAGTGACAAACTCCTGCCATCTAGAGGGTGGTTTCTGGAACATATTTGGGGCAGATACTGTGTGACAGTGTAAAATAAACAAAGATAAAAAGCTTAGTGTCTACATACCTCCTTGGGGTTTTCTAGATTTCTCCTTTTTCATTCATGAATTTATGTAAAAATACCCAGTCACATCTGTGCATGTATAATAGTTCTTTCTTCAAGAGCTCCATTCATTCATGAGAGCAGATTAGCTGACCAGGATAATGATTACAAAATAGATTAAAACATTCTGTTTGTATTTTTTTCCAATGCAATAACATTTATTCTCATTGTGTTCTTGCATTCATGGCTGCTTAAAACAGACTACAGTGGTCACAAGCAGAATACAAGAATATTGGTGATTAATGACATTCATTAAGAAAAGTGAGACTTACACAAAAACACCTCTAACATCTCAGAAAAGATGGTATTTTCTAATTAGGTTTTTATTTAAACAGTGTGTGGCCAGGGCTACCAACAATAATTAAAAACTACTTCTCCACACACTTTCTCATGAAGAAGTGTCCAGTTTAGTGACCACCATGATTTTTTTGTTGCTATAACAATAATGCTGTTTTCTGTGCATCCCACTAATGTGCTGTGAAGATCACATCTTGAAGGAAAAACATGACATGCAAACAAATTGTTGTAGGAGAACCAACAGTGGCCTTACAAAAGTTAGGAGTGTCTTCCTGGAAAGGCAATGATGGCCCATGAAAATCTCTCTCATTAAGTGAAAATCACATTTCATAACCAGCAGCCAACTTTTAGGAAGAATTACATGACCAAATACAATGTGAAGCAACATAAACATCTCACTTCAGCAAATCGATGATCAAAGCACACAAAGCAATGCCCTAGATTATCGGTGATGAAGAGGGAAGGGGACAACTGACTCAGCGATCAGAAGCCAATTTTACTGGGTTACATAAGCTTACATACCATTCTAGGGAAGCTAGTAATTTTTTACTACAATGGTTGAATTAAACATCATACAAACATACATGCATATTTCAACATTGATTCAATCTTCTTCCTGTCGCCAGACTTGATTCAATCTCCTTGCAATCTTCAAAGCTCTGTTTGGTCCTGCCAAGGCATCCTGGCTATCAGATCTCTTATGCTAGTCAAGTTCAAAGTACTTTCTGATTTCACTATACTAGATCTTACTTACATGAAATATGTATCAAATCCTTCCTAGGTGAAAGACCACAAAATACACTGGAATGTGATCCATGCACTTATCTTCCATTAAATATCTATACAATACATCTTCTAACTATTTTCACAAAGGGTTTTCTAGGCAATATCCATCTGTGACAGTAACTTGCACAACCTCAGTTAAGACAGAGCTGCTTGCAGGGGTTTTTTATAGCATGGATATAATTTCCCTTTTTAAGCTACATTGTATTCCTACCATTTAGATTAATCAATACGTCACTTTAAAAATAGCTCAAGCCACAGATGAAAGATTTCAGAGATAACTTTTCAGGGGCCCATTACAATCACAACTGATCGTTGCAATTACTATACCCAAAACTCGGTCTCTCGACAAGTGAGAGCTGAGGTACAATTGCCTCTCAAGCAAACAAGATCTGAGGCTGGGCCATGCACGGAGCAGCAACATCCATGCAAACAGATGGAAAAGCGCTTTCCTGATGCCCGCGCCGCACCTCGTGAGGGGAAAGGGGCAGCATTGTGCTCGGAACGTTCCGGCCGGGCGGCGCGAGCCAGGCGGGCAGCGCACCGCAGCGCACCGCCGCTTCCGGCTTCCGCGCGGCCGCCCGAGACAGGTGGGAGCGGGAGCGGGGCCGGGAATGGGAATGGGGGCGGGGGCTGGGTCAGGGGCGGGCCCGGAGTGCTGAAGGTGGTGCCTCAAAGGGGCCGGGCTAGAGGCGCTGAGGGTCTCGGTTCCGGGCTCTTGCGGCTTAAGTGCTCGAACAAGCGAAGCGGTGTCCGGCTCCCCCGTGGCCAGGTGCCGGGAAACGCGGAGCACGGCGACCCAGGTTGGCAGCGTGATGCGGCACGGTTTGGGGGGCCCAAATACTGAAGATGAGAGAAAGCGCTAAAAGCTGAAGCCCGGCAGTGTGCGTGCACACGCTCAGAGCAGCCCTACTGTCGGCGCCTCACCCCACGGCCGCGGGGCGGGTCTCGTCCGGCTCCCGGCGGGACCAGATGCCCATGCTGAGGAGGGAATGGGTCAGAGGGGCTCCTGAGGAAAGCCCCTCACACCTGGGCACTTACAGCACCGCAGCCACCAGGTGCTGCGGGTCCACAGTGCAGTTTTTAGCCACTTTGCTTCCAAAAGATGGAGTAAGTCATGGTGATTTGGAGTAACGTGGAGTAAGCCTAGAAAGTAATTTTTGCATTATTAGGGCGATAAGTTCATGACCCTTTTAAATACGAAGTACTGTTAATGCAGTTTTTTTAATTATAATTTTGTATGAGTGGTGAAATAGATTTTGAATACGCATAGGGTGGAAGCTGTTTAATGGTCAAGCACAAGAAATCTTGAAGTACGGAAAGCCTCTTCTGGGTGTTGGTATCTGTGGCCTGACAAGGGTAGCCCCACAGTTCCCTGCCCCCCAGTAAATAGCTTGTTCCAGCTGTTGGCCACGTCTGTGACAGCAGGGTGGGCAGTGTACCACCAGATAATGAGGCAGGGCACTGTCCTGCTCAGCACAGAAGATCCAGGAACCTGCTGGTGCAGTCAGGGTGTGTCTTTGGGTCCTCATTAAGGACAAGTAGTCGTGGCTTTAGCAGAATTTAGATGCCGAGCACTATTAATGCACAACCCCCAGTTAAAATCCACCGGAGTCTTTGGAGCTGTGGTGGGAAAACTGTGGTCTTTGCCCATGGTTGCCTTAGCAAATAATGCAACAGGAGCTGAACATTTACAGAATGGAACACAGTGCTGGTGACCCAATACCCGCGTAACATGTTTTAGGGGTTTTCCTTTGAAGTGTTCACCTCATTCCTGCACAGCCTCCTGATACCTGAGATCTGCTTCTTTGTGCCACAGCATGAGCCATTAAGCTGGAGAGCTACACTCACTCCCGCAGCTGCTGCTGTGGCCCAGGCACAGCATTTCACTCCTGAGTAGGAAACTTTAAATGGAGAAACAACCCTCCTGAAGAGTGTTCCCTATGCAGGAGCTCCAGTGCTCTGTAGGGCAGCATAATTGTACCCTCTGGGGCTGAGGGAGGAATCAGGCATGGACCTCTTATTTTAGGTCCTCCAGTTGTACTTTTCTGTCCCACACATCCCTCAGGGGTGTGGGCTGCACACAGAATCTACTGTATCTTTCCTTCCTGAAAGTGAGTGTGCCAAAAGTGGAGGTAGAGCACTCTGCAGAGGCATTTGAATACTAATTAGGGGTTTCAAAAGAGGTGATAGTCTCATTTGAAAGGTAGACAGGGTTTATGCTGTTGTAATTTCTGGAATCACAACATGGTTAAGTTCTAGTCCAAAAATTGCAAAGATGGTAAATTTCTTTAAAAATTCGAGCCCATGACAAAGACAACAAACAAATGAAAATTCAGAGGGAAAGAGTGATAAGAATATTGATCTATAGGCTCTTGTTATTATTGGATGCTGTTTGAAAGCATGGATTCGGTCAACAGCTTTTCTAAAGGGACCTGACATTGCAGTTCTGTTGTTACTTAGCTCAGTGCAACTTTCTGAGAACTGCCATCTAAAATTTCTTGTACTCTGTGTCCTCAGGAGGCGCTGGGGCAGTGCTTTTCATGAAAACAGTTTGTCATTTTGTGCTTTCCATTATGAGGGGATGTGAAGAAGTGAAGGTTTAAATACTAACCATTAGATTCTACTGTTAAAACAGCATTTGAAAGGTTTGAAAATTAGTGTGGAACCTGATATTGTACTCTCAGTGTCAGAAATGTCATACTCTAGAATAATGACAGTTGCCAGCAGGCAGCACAGCCATACAATTTTGACTACAAAATACGACACTAATACGATTTAAACATTGTGCAAAATACTGCAGGGTAAGAAAACTGATTTATGTGTGCTATCAAAAGCAAATTTTAGTATCTGGTCAAGACTATATTTCTGTGTTCAGGGAAGTTAGGATTCTTTGGTTTATAAGACCTTTTGAATGAAGATACTAATTTTTCTTCCAAGCTGAAGCTGCTAGAATTGACTGTTGCCTGTTGATGCTGCAACTGTCCATACAGATGCTTATTAAACAGGCAAGGCAAACCAAAACCAGAGGTCCATCACAAATAAACTTACAGACAGTAATGGTTTAATTTTTTTTTTTAAGGCAAAGTACTTCAAAGATAGTTAAACACAAAGTTCAGGACAGCAAAGTCTTCCAGATCACAAGATTCTTTATGGTTCGTCACATGGCTCTTCCTTGAGGATTGTCCCCTTATCCTACATTTCAAAAGGAAATTTCACACAAGCAAATTAATGGAGATGAAGCAGTTACTGCAGAAACTGTAAGATCCAGGTTTAGTGCTGGATGTGTAATGTGTGTCCTTGTATTTACATACATCGTTTTGTGTGCATTCATTCCATACCTATTTTTCCCCCACAGATAGTGAAACATGCCTAAAAAAAAGACTGGTGCTCGTAAGAAAGCTGAGAACCGTCGGGAACGTGAGAAGCAGATAAGGGCTTCACGAGACAACATAGACTTGGCCAAACATCCTTGTAATGCTTCAATGGTAAATCAACCCAAAGTATTCTGTAGTAAAATACCTAATTTTCAATTATGTAAACTCAGTGATAATACCTTTACTGCATTTAATGCAGTATGCAGAATGTCATTCTTCCTACTGTCATTCCTTTATATTTAAGGTTACGTTTGCACAAGACAGAATATGGATTAAAAGGTTTGGATCCTAACTGTAACTTCCTGAGGAGGTCTGTAAATTTTATATATTTTGCCTAGAACAAAAATAATAACCAATGTTTTATTTCTTCTCTTTAGGAATGTGATAAGTGCCAAAGGTAAGATTTATTCCCCTTCTAAAACCAGTAGCTTAGTATTTGTTTCAGACATTTTACAGGTAATTTTTAATGCTTTTTTTTAAAGCTTAACACTTTCTTTTTGTTTTTTCCCCTCCGTGTGCCTAGACGACAGAAGAATAGAGCTTTTTGTTACTTCTGTAATTCTGTTCAGAAATTGCCCATTTGTGCACAATGTGGTGAGTAGAAATAATAAATGAAAACAAACTGTCCTCAATCCTGTTCCTGGTGTTAAACTCTCAGTACTTGTGTTACAGTAGCTTTTTTAAGTACATCTGTGATGTGGAGCAGGCTCTTTTGAATCAGCTGTGAATATCCTTCTTGAGAAGTGATCTTCTTTGATTGGTATATGTGCCTCTAACCCCCAAAGGTTTGCAAGCCTGGATCGTGGCTTGTCTTCTTTGGAAAAATTAGTCTCACTTTCTTTCAGGTTTGAGAAATCTGACTGTTTTCATAGGTTGATTACATGAAGCATTGTTTCATAACAGCAACAAAATTAAAAATGCTCTGACTGCTAGCACGGCACAATAAATACTGTATTTTTAGGGACTGTATAACTTCTGATCAATATCAATTAAAGCAACAATATATTATTCACCTTGCATGGGATTGTAATGTAATATTTAACTCTTGTTATTCATGTGGGCTTGAGGGCTGATGCTTTGAAATTAGAAGGGAAGGACTCCTCGTGACATAATTGCTCTGAATCAGGCTAAGACATCCTTTGCTTTTAAACAGCTGCTTGCTTGCAGGAGATGTTGATACTCCTTTCATACTGAAGTGAATTTTGTTGTTCCACTGTTTCAACACAACATTGCAGATTTTCAATTTGTCATTAAGCAATTTGACTGTTTTGGAGTTTGACTCTCAGAGCTGCTGACATGCAGCTTTCAGTGCCTTTGTTGTGACCTGCAGATACTGAGCAATTCTGGAAGCCAGGCTGTTAGTGTTCAGTGGCAGTGTGTCACCCTTTGTTAGTCTCCTTTCTGTCACAATGCATTGAAGTACTGAAAACATGCTTTCTGTCTTACGGTTCAGTTCTGTGTGTCTGGAGTAATCTGGAGTATGCTTCTAGAGGAAAACCATTCCTGTCAACTGTACTATATTGAGAGACTCAGGGTTTTCCAAACAAAAACTATTAGAGCTGTTTGGTGCATAATCAAGCATTGGGGACTGTAAACCAAGAGCATCTTTCTTAGAGGAGCCAGTAAGGTATGGGACCAAGATAGTTCTGTTCCAGTGCTCCACACCCAGTTATGCCCCCTCCACCTCTCACTGGCTCACCCAGCTCAGCTGCTTTTATGGTGGGACAGAACTAGCAGTGGTTTTAAACATAACATAAACATAAAGTTTCATTGCTGGACTTTGACCTTAGTTTTGTTCTTTGTTTTGACATTTGAAATTTTTGCCACTGCCTCAAAACATAGAGCAAGACCAACACATTGTCTTATTATCTCAGTACAGGGGCAAGAGGGTTGACTGAAAACAGACAATAATTAAACTAACTTAAGGGAGATGTGAGGGTGGGTTGCCAAATGCAGCAATAATGCAAGCATCTTTGTTTGCATTATTTTTACCTAGATTTACAGTTAAATGCAGGCATTTAGTTGAAGTGCTGTTCTTACATAAGGAAAATGCATTCTATTGTTTTTTAAATTTTATTTTTACATAGTTTTCTTATGGTTGCTCGCCTTTTTATTTTAAACAGGAAAAACCAAATGCATGATGAAGTCTTCAGACTGTGTTATAAAACATGCTGGTGTGTACAGTACTGGACTAGCTATGGTGGTATGTATACAAAATTGCAGCCTTTTTTGTACTATGATGATATTCTGTGCAAATATTTCCAGAAAAATGATAAAACAGATTTATGGAATGATAGTGTATATACCATGCCAAGTTTAGTTTTTTCCTTGCTTTTCTGTAAGAAACTGATTTTTCCCTTATACTGAAACTCCCAAATTTTTCATTTTTAGATTCAGCTCCTGCAAATTCCAGGACATGTCCTGAATGCTAACGGATCTGTGTTGGTGGCAGGCCCTATGCACATGCATGAATAGCACTGGACCCTTACATGCCCCATAGACAATTCCCAGCCTTCATTAAAATGTAGGATTATTCTGGAGAAGCATGAAGACTTTTGTTGCTGTTGTTTTAGTACTGCAGAGATCATCAGTATCACAGAGAGGAATCTGTTCCATTAGGGGGGAATTTTAGTGAGCAAACCCCCTATTTTGGGCTCTTAATTAGAGATTATCATAGCTTCAGGCCTTTGAAGTTTTGTTCTTAGAAGGACAAGTTACTGTCTGCATTCTAGAAAGCAAGGTGTGACCTGTCACAGCCTCTGGATTAAATGGACTAAACCTCTGTCCTGTTGCTGCCTGCAGCTGGTCGTCCGCTGTTCTCTGTAACACAACCAGCCTTTACATGCTGGCATTTCTAAACTCATCCCATGCATTCACTGATGCAAGAGTGAATGCATCAACAGTTAAGTTTGGATTCATAATTGTTTTCTTAGCTTTCTGTGCATATAATGCATATAGTAATCAGTTGCCTATGATCTGAAAAGACATCTTAAATGCTACAGTTAAGGATAGCTGAAGTGGAGATCTTACAATTTAATCAAAATAAAAGTTAGAGTCTAACTTACTTCTAATGAGTTATTTGACATTTGCTTTCTGGAGAGCTTGTGCTCTAATATAGCAGAGTATAAAATCCAAATGAGTGATTTCAGCTGTAAGAGTCTAGAGGCATTTTTCAGGTCTTTGAAATTTCATTTTTGCCTGAACATTATTATAATTTATGGATCCCAGGTTTCAACTGGAGGACTCAATTTTCCATGTGCAAAATATGTGATAAGAAATGGAAAAACCAGGATTGAGGTAGATAACCAAATTATTTTGCATCATACTTAATTCTGCAGAAATTAATAACAAACAAACATGGATTGTGGAGCAGCTTGGTTGGAACACTGGTTTGGTTCAATATTCTCACTCAAGCAAAGTGAGCCCATTGAGAGAATGGATACTAGGTGATACACTGAGGATTATGGGATAAGTCTTTCTGTTGGTATTGCAGAACTTCTGAGACGATACCTTGCTGTGATTACAGGGTGCAATCTGTGATTTCTGTGAAGCCTGGGTGTGTCATGGGAGGAAGTGTCTCAGCACCCATGCATGTATGTGCCCTCTGGCAGATGCAGAATGCATTGAGTGTGAAAGAAGTGTCTGGGACCATGGTAGGTTGCTCATATTTAAAAATAAGAAAATAAAGGTTACACTTTCCTTGCATTGCTTAAGTTAGTGCATCTATATTCTTAACATACGCTTTTTAGTCTTCACTGATTAGTCCTTGCAGTATGCTTGTTCAAAGCAAGGATTCTTCCTTAGTCATTATAGAGTGGGGAAAGTAAATTACTTGCTCAAGAACATACAGTGCTCAATTCAAGGATGATTATGTAATCTAAATTATAATGGTTCTATGAGATTAATTAGTCACATAATTAAGCACTGCATCAAATTGCCAACACAGTTTTCTGCCATTCTTGCTTCATTCTTCTGCACTAGTTCAGGTATTTGGATTCACAGTTGCTTAGGAAACCTTACTGGTCTCCATTTATGGAATCCTTTAAAGTGTTTATTTCAAGTGTGTATCAGAGCTGAGCGGAGTAGACTGGATGAAATTGTGATCTGATTTAAGAAAAATAGTTAATGCTACAGTCAAATTAAAATGAAGTACTAGAAGTAATACTTGCTTTATAGTTATGCTATCTTATATTGTAGGATAGAAGGTAATTTTCAGTGTAAAAATGGATGGCAGTGCCTGATTTAGGACATTAAGCATTTGTGACAGAAGGGAGAACTGGTCTTCAGTCAAAACTACCGCCTAAATTGCTTGAAGAGCAGGACTTGATGCCTGTGCCCGTTGTTGATTATTTTGCCTTGATAAATCTTTCAGGAGGCAGAATATTTGCCTGTTCTTTTTGCCATGATTTCCTCTGTGAAGATGATCAGTTTGAACATCAAGCCAGCTGCCAAGTTCTGGAAGCAGAGACATTTAAATGTAAGTTAGTTATTCATAGTCTCTTTCACCACAGACAAGCAGACTCTCTACTTGCTTCCTCTGTGATCCAGAATACTCACCATCACCTTTCCCAAGTAGATTTTCCACCACTGAAGGGAAGGGCCTGTTTCCTATGGGCTGGCTTTTGGTATCCAGTTGTCCAGACTAGAACTTTTTTCTCTTTCATGGGCCTTCCTCCATGGCAGAGCATACATGGCAGTTGTTTTCCTGGCAGCCTGCTACAGGCCTCCTATGGGAAGCTGCTCTTGCAGGAGCCAGCCTTCTCCAAAGTTGAAGTGTGGGCAGTGGCAGGACTGCAGCAAAACAGTCCTACTTTGACCTGGAACTGCTGATGCTGGTTTTTCACTCCACAAAGCTCTGCCAGCAGAAGGAGCTGTGAGAAGGAATCTTCTGACCCAGTGATGAGCTGGTTCTAGATACCTGTTTCTCCTGGAAGACAGCTGCCCTAAACAATGCCACTTAGTCTGGCTAAACTTTCCTAGGTTGCTGTGGAAGGCCTGTGTGCTGGTGAAGGGTTAGCAGCTGCTCAAGTCCTGAGGAGGGCTGTGACTCAGCAGTCATCATCTGAGTCAGTGAGACAGGGTGAACACAGAAGGAAGTGACAAAAATAGTCCCAGAGCATGATTTCAGTGTTCATTTCCTCACTGACCAGTGTGTGTCAGTAATGTATCAAATGCTGATATATGTTCACTCTTTTGGAGTAAAGAACGGGTGGCTGAACAATTCTTTTTGAACTTTGATTAATTGTGTGATCGAAACTGAAACTGGTATTTGTAAGAGGACATGATAGCCATGCCCGACTTTGCTCACTCATTACTCATCTCTGGCTGAAACAGGGAATCTTCAAGGGAAGTTAAAAAAACAAAACAACAATAAAACAAAACAAGCCAAGGCTATGCATATTTGAAATAACTAAATTTTTCTAGCAGTATTTCTTGCCTACCCACCATGAAATACGATTTGGTTCATCACAAGACAAGCATTTTTTTGTCCTTCCCAAATCTTGTATGCATGTATTTTGACTATTATAACATTTTCAATTCTTATTATAGAAATTCAAAGTGCTCTTTATCATAATGCTGTTTTCCTTTGAACTGACTAATTTCCTAACCTAATTGATTTCTCCTGGTCCAGAATATTTGTGATTTCAATGTTTTAATTGGTGTCTTTAGACATCTCTTATCGCCTTGTCATCTCCCTTACTTTTGTTCCTAGACAGCTATTTTTTAAGCCTTGCTTATCTTCCCTTGATGTGTTCTGCCAGAATTTCTTCCTGCGTGGCGATACAGAGGCAGCAACAGCTGTTCTGCAAGAATGTTTTTTTAGTGATTGTTGGGAGCTCTCAATTCACGGATGTGATATCACACCCTGAATAGAAAGAGTTTTTTTGAGGGTTTTCACTGCATTTGGTATTTTGTGGCACAAAGCAGACTTTGTGGAGACAAGTTTTTTGTCAGTGAGGTACCAAGATTATAAAACCTGTACTTTTACAGAATACATGAACTTCAAATGTGGTCATGCAACTGTAGTATTAAATCTATTTTAGCAGTGGGAAAGGTACTGCTACTTTCCATCACTATCAGAGAGTGTTTTTTTGAAGTGCAGATACTCAAAAAATGATGAATATATATGCATCAGCATTTCCAGTTCTATCTCTAACCACGTTAGAGCTCCAAATCCCGCATCTGTCCTGCTCATGTGGAGAACTCATGAAATTTATTATCTCAGGTTCAAAAACTGCTATCACAGGGGTTAGACAAGGAGGAAAAGAATGAGTTCTTGCACAGAAATTGGTTAAGTATATGTTACTGCTTCTCAAGGAGTAGCTATTCACCAAACCTTGTGTTGCTGCCAATTCTTGAGTGCTTCCCTTTACTGTACTCCCTCTACTGGAATAATAAAAACAATTTGAAGCTCAAGACAAGTTAAATTTTGTGCACTGATTCTTTACAGCTTGTGTGCCAGCTCCAGTTCTTAAACACAGACTCTCTTATGAAGGTTTGTGCAGTCAAGTATCCAGAGGATACATGGCATATCCAGAGGATATGACAGAAAATACAGAATGTAACAACTTTTCTAGTTTTAGAAATTTGCAAGCTTAAAGTGTTCTTGCATCTATAGCTCTCCTTCTTTTGAATGTTGTGAGAAAAGGAAAAGCAAGATGAAACCTGAACACCAAATTGGTTCTGAAACTACAGGTTTTAAAAGTTTGGAAGCTCAAGAAATAGTTAAATGTTTCAGCTCTTGAAATTTCATTTTTTTGTCAAAATGAGGTTTAGAGTTAAAAAAAATCTAGTTAAAATGGTACTGTTGGGTAAAATGACTGATTCACATTGCCAGAGTGCAGTTGTGTCAGGGAATTAAAAATAAATGTTTCAATTATGGTATTGCATACTTTTACAAGGTTTTAGAAACATGACAGGACTGCAGTTTCCAAGTACGAATTTTCCAAGTATGAATTTGTCATACTGCTTTTCTCCAACAGGTGTCTCCTGTAACAGGCTGGGACAGCATTCCTGCCTGCGTTGTAAGGTAAAGAGTAAAGACAGTTGTGAGGAGCTGATTTTAGGCTCGTTGTCCTTGGCCTCCAAGGCTGGTGTCAGGCCTTGTCATGTCTTCCTCTCCATGATTAAAAGGAAATTAAAACTTTTGTATTAGTTTCTGTAGCCTGGGGTCAGACTTTGGGGGACAGAAGGTCATTTATCTTTGCTTGCCTGTTAACCACACTGTTGTGTGAAGTGATCTTTTCCCAGCCCTCTTAGTTTAAGTTGGGCCTGCAACATGTTGGGGCTTAAAAAAAAAACAAGACAACAAAATAAATCCTTGGTTATAAATAGAATCCAAAGCTTTGGAATATGCTTTGATCCAGTGTGGAACTGCAACAATTAGAAAAGTTGTTCTTTTAAACAGTTAAGTGATTATCTGACCAGAAATTGCTGCATCCAAAGGAATACTCTCCACAGTTAATTCAGGCTTCCATGTGAGCAGGCTGATTTGTTGACATTGGTTTTATGGTTTTAACACTCAGAAGTAATTTTGTATAAAAAGCTCCACCTGCTTCATCATCAGCACTGCCTGGATTTCTCCAGGTGCTGGTTCATTGTCTCCTCTTACCCTTCTTACCCTCCATGTTTTCTCTGTACTCTCCCATGGCATTGATGGCTTATTCCAAATAGTTCCTTTTTACATGTATTTTACATGTATGCAGCTGCACCCTGGTGCTCAGCATGTGAACTTCCCATCTCGAATTCTTGCCTTCAGGCCCCTGCATAGTTTTGTTCTGGGATACATCTCATTATGTTTATTTAAGCTTGTCAACACAAACCCGAGTTTGCCAGGCTCCTTGTGCACAGTGCTGCAATCCAGCCCTGGAGTATGTTACTTTCTCTGCTTGTTTACCAGCACTTTTATCCAGCCTCTTCCCCAGAAACCCTGGAACCACATTGAATACAGAGTGGTTCCTCTGTGCACAGACCCTGTGTCCACTGCAGGAGAGACCTCATTAAATTTTAATCCCAGCCAGAAAACCCTGCTGCTATTAGATACGTTTTTGTTTGCTTCTTGCTGAGGAATGTGCTTCTAGGATTAAAACATTTATTTGGCCTTTGTATTCTCCCTTCAACACACAGGCTTGTTTTTGCGACGATCATGTGCGAAGTAAAGTTTTCAAGCAGGAAAAAGGGAAAAAGCCTCCTTGCCCTAAATGTGGCCATGAAACTCAGCAGACAAAGGATCTGAGCATGTCAAGTAAGCCAGTTTCTCTAGCTAACAAGCCATACAAGCGCCATTAGTGACTAATTTCTGCCTAGGAGCACTGAATTAAGTCTTTTATGTTCAATTGTTATACACAGTTTTGCTTCATTTGTTTTGAGAAAAACTTTGTGTTTCTGAGTTCTGGAATTGAGCAGTCTCATTCTTAACCATTAATTGATTCTAAGAAAGTGAAAGTTTTTGTTTAGTTTGAGATTTTAGTTGTGAAAGAAATGAGAAATAATTGCCATTTAAACTAATCCTCAAGCAGTGAAAAAAAGATAGAAATGAAATGTTGGATTGGTGGGAACATGATTTTTCTTTGCCTGCAGCACGCTCTTTGAAGTTTGGCCGACAGACTGGAGGAGAAGATGCAGATGGAGCTTCTGGTTATGATGCCTACTGGAAAAACCTTTCCTCCAGCAAGACTGGGGATGCAGGCGACCGTGAGGATGAATATGAGTATGAAGCAGAAGATGATGATGAAGATGACAATGATGAGCGAGGGAAGGATTCAGATTCTGAGGCCACAGATGTATTCAGCAATTTGAATTTAGGAAGGACCTATGCTAGTGGGTATGCACATTATGAGGAATCAGACGATTAAGCTTAGTATGCTGGTAAACTAAAAACATTTTGAAGGAGTCAAGCAATGCTTCACTGAATTGTGTACATGCCAGTAGGATAGCTCTATCAGGTACTTACACATCACAGTTAGAGAATAAAGAGTGTGGGACTTCTGCAGTAAGTTCGATGGACATTTTTCCTGTAGATGAACTGATGTTGGGTTTGGGAATGGGGGAGAAAATCAGGGTAATTTTATTTCCCTAAACAACAGAATAGTTTTGTCCTTGGGTATAATGGTTCAATGCCATTTTCTCCTATCAACACAGGAATGTGGGACAGCTGTAGAACTTGCTTCCATTTGCCCATCAGAAATTAAGTTATTTTTTACAATAATTTTGTTAACTGATTTCATACACTAATGCAGTGGTGGGTTGGTGACTGCATTTTCTTTGGTCTGCACAATAAAAGTCAACTGTATTCTCTAATGAACTGTCATAAATATTGATCTCCCTTGAATAGTTGGAAAGCAGGTTGTATACAAAGTGTAAATTGACACTGAAATTACTTCCTTGTTTATGTCAGTATGGCAGATCAATGTAGTTCCCTGTGTATTTGCATATCATCTTTTCGGTTTTTCTTATTAGCTATTAATTGCTTGGGCTATATATAGTCATTATATGAGCACTCCAGATAATCAAAACTTTTATGGAAATAAAATGTTAGTATCCTCTCTGCCACAAAAATCTGTAAGGCAATTTCCCATTAGATGAAAGGGAGACTGGTTTCATCTGTACCTAGCCTTCTCTTTTCCTTGCATATGATAAGAAAAAAAAATACTAGATAGGAGGCAACGCCATATATGAGCTGAGAAGGTGAGAAAACATGGGGGGTTCAAAATGCTGGGTTCAAATACTGTTCTGTGCAAGCCTGCCAGTACAAGGCAATTGATCAGCACTTCTGAGCTGTGACACCTGCAGAAGTGTTTGCAGTGGTTCTAGTTTGAAAGTAAACATGTTAATTGCCCATCTACAGATCTAAGTGATGGCATTTATTTTCTCTATGTAGGGGAATGTTTTACAGCAGACAGGTCATGATACAAGGGCAACCACCGAGAGTGTTGCTTCAGCTTTCTAAGTGCCATGCTTTAATGCAAGAGAGCCCTTTTTGTTATCTGTCAAATACCTGAACTGATTATATCATTACCTGCTTTTGTGGTGTTTCCCTACTTTTTCGTAACAGCTAAAGGTCATGTGTTGTTGGCAGAGCATACCCTATTGAGAGTAATTTTTAATGATGTTAGGATTGCCAAATGAACATTTCGTAGCAAAACAGGATTGGAAAACCTGGTCTTGATACTTCCCTCCTAAATGCATCTCATACCAAATATGTGAAAGATGAGAGCTCCAGAGAGATCCATCTAGGACAAAAACAAACTGCTTAAGAGCACAACTTGGTAATGGCAGCTGAGGGAGCAGCTCTGTAGGAGAAGGGGGCACAGCTGGTGAGTGCATGCCTTTGGAACTGGAGATGAAACAAGTGAAGGCACTGTCTGAAAGCCAAATCCCCTTCAAACATTGAAACATCCAGTATCATACGCAAAGGCCTATCTTAAATGAAGTACCTGAGAGATGTTTTGATCCGTCTTTTGCGTAACCAGACATGAAGTGATGGAAGTGGGACACCTGCCAATTCAACTCCGATTAATTTCTGAAATTGGCACATGTAAGAGAATTTCAGCTTCATGTGTTCCAAAAACTTCCACATTGAGTTCATCTGTGGCTGGTCATTTCCAACAGCACTGTCAGTTTTTAAATCTTGGTTGGTGTTTCAAATGCAAAACACTTATCAGTACCAAGTCCTCTACAGAACTGAGGAAAATACATGTGTTTCTGCATATATGCAAAATTACCACTGCTTGTGTGTCATTTATTAATATTACTTAACCACACAAAACCTGTCTTTAATGTTCTTAGCTCTTCAGTTAGGTTTTTCTCCTCTGAAATTTGCTGCTGTCACTGGCTGTGCCAAAGGCTGCTGACATAACAGAATTAATCATCATAATCAGGGTAAAGAATTACTCATTTTCTCATTGAAGTGCCCTTGCACTGATCCTTGCTAGATCAATACTCCAAAGCTAACAAGTTCCTATGGCACATCCGAAGTGAGGGTCACAGCAGTGCCTGCAGCAGATGCTCAACGTACCTGCTGTAATTTAGCAAAGTCACTACTCGGTGGACATTATTTTTGCTTTTCTTTTGTGCTTCTCTTCAGACCACTGAAAATGCTTATGCTGTCAGCTTGTCTGGAAATTGGGTCCAGGAATTAGCCCTGCAGTGCCTGGCCTCCCAGGGGTCAAAACAGGCAAGTTTAAGCTGCTTTGAAGTAATCTGGTGCATTCAGGCTGGAGCAGACAAACACGTCAATCTGTGGCAGCACAGGCTGGATAGGATGTGATGTGTTGTGTTTCCTCTGCTTTTTCAGTACAGGTAAATGCAGGCGCTCTGTTTGGGATAGGCCCTCAGAGCTTGCTTTCAAAGAAAGTGCATAATTTTGGTTTTATTAAGGTAAATGGCAGGAACAGGATGGAACAGAAAATGAACATGTATTCTGACTTCATTGAAGAACAGGCCTGGGACAAAATTATACTGGCTCCATTTTTCTTCATTGCTGTATGTTTCCTTTGAAAATCCTGTCTCTGGTTAAAGGAAGTTCTGATTTGAGAGAGGGACAGTTCTAACACGTAACCACTAATACCCATGAGTTATGTGTTGTACTCCAGGAATCTAAGACCTTGATAAAATCTTAAACTTCAGGTTTTTTAACTTCTGTGATGACCATTTAAGCAAAGCTTAAGTAGGACTTGAATTAAAATCACAGCAACGTTTATTGTGCCTGTAGGCCTAAATAAAAAGCTCTGGTCACCTCTGTAATTGCATTTGTTTATTATGGTGACAGCACCGGCTCGTTATGAATTCATTGCGTACTCCTGTAGATTTAATGCATTTTTCTTTATACTCAGGTGTAATTTAGCACCCGTGACCGTGAGTCTTTTGATCAATCCGGTAGTTTTCTTTCCAGAAAATGAATGGGAAGATCATTATAGTGTACTGAGCAACTGAAAAAGTAGTAGCAGGCATGTCACAGAGAGCTAGAGGACAAACTTAAAAGTGCTCAGAGTCCTATTTGTTCAGGCAGAAGAGTATTAGTTGTCTTGCAAGACATTACATGCATCTGTCCAGGTCCTGATCCTATTTCCAGAAGAACCAATGGCAAAGTTCCCATTTATCCAAGTGGAAACAACTCAGTAATCTTCAGTATCTACAGTTCATCTTAAATGTTAGGAGGTGTTGTGGAACACAATGTGAGCCTAAGCAGAAGTGGGGAAGATGAAGAAAATCTTTTAACATGAGGTTAATGTGTTAACCATTAGCGTGAAAATATTTGTTCTAAATTTCAACAGTTCCGCTGGACAGTGCTCTCAAGACTGAAAGATGAAGCTGCTTAAAGCAGGAAGAGATCAGATTCTACAAGATGCAGAAATGTAATTAGTCATCTCCCAAAAGTCTTCATGTAATTAATAAATAGTTGCTAAAAGCTTAAAGCACTTAGGACACAGACAAATTTCATCATCTCTTTTTTTGTAGATACATAGATAGAAAACAGTAGTTGAAAAAATCACAGCCTGAACAGTCCAGTTGGCAGCAGCCTTCTGAAGCTTGGACTCTCCATCACCTACCCATGAAGGTCCAGACTAAACATATTTTATGACACTCCTTTATTAAGATTATGTGTGCTGTAATTGGCTACTACACATGGAAAATTTGAAGCAGGGCCTAGTTTTTAGCTTCCATAAGCAAGATAGACAAAAATCAGCAAGACAATGTCACAGATATGAAGAATAATCCATAGAAAAGCCACTAGTTTCCCTTTGCTAAACAAACAGTAGGTTCACAAGCCTGTATTCAATATGGAAGGGGGAAAAACTAAATTATGTTTCTGTCTCACCAAATTAAGCTACTACAGATAAGCAGGTTTGCTGAGAAACAATTGCAAAACATGAGAAAGCCTATCTTAGCTATCTCAACTCCTACTATTTTCTAACACTAAAGCATTTGCTGCATTCTTTTAAACCTCACTTACGCAACACGTGATTCTCCCAAAATGTTTCCCAAACTTACCTGTAATTTGAGATTCACTTTGGTTTCCCTCTGAAATGAGAAATACTGAGTGCCTCAGGGCCTAAGTAATGTTTTTACTTCAACTTGATGTTATGTCACATCTGTTGTAGATTTTCACATTACAAAACCACTAATTTAAAAAAATGAATTTATTAGAATGTAAACACGCCAACCCCCCACAATTCCTTTAACAGGTAATACAAGTATGTCACTGCTATAGTTGCCTGTTGCTGTTCCTACTGTTTTATTTTTGGCATAGAGAAAGAGGTTGATTATTTTGAAAGTGAATCCCTGCTAGTTAGGCACATATACCCTTGGCATGCCTCCAATTTGATTTAAATTCAGCACCTTATGAGTATGGCAGAGACAAGGATGAGCCCCTCTGAGATTTTCCCACCATCAGGAGAGGTGTGCAAAGACTTCACTCTAGATGTCAACATGAATTCACAGGGTGTGCCAGCTCAAGGTAGTAACAACTGAAATATGACCTTTCACTAGACTACTTTGGAAGCCTGCAGAAACCTAAATGCCTGGAAAAACAACTGCTGCAAAGCTGCATCCCATGAGGAGGCCGCTTGGGGCACAGCGATGATGAAATTATAGCGTTCTTGATATTTGGTGAAATCAAGAGGAACGCCAATAAGACTTCTACATTGGACTTCTGGAGGGCTGACTTTGGCCTGTTCAGGAGATTTATTTGGAGAGTTCCTTGGGAAGCAGCCCTTAAAAACAAAGGAGCTCAGGAAAGATGGGCATGCTTCAAAACAGAGGTCTTGAAGGCACAGGAACACAGTGTTCCCTGTGTGCTGAAAGATGAGTCAATGAGGCAAGTGTCCTGCCTGGATGGGCAACGAGGTTTTGGAGGAACTTAAAAATAAAAAGAGGATGTATCATCTTTGGAGGGAGGGTCAGGTCCCTCAGGAAATATTTAAGGGGGCTGCTAGGGCATGTAGGAAAAAATTAGGAAGGCCTAAGATCAATTTGAACTTAAATTGGCAACTTTTGTAAAGGGTAATAAAAAATATTTTTACAAATATATTAATGGTAAAAGGAAGGGTAAGACCAGCCTTTGTTCCTCATTGGATGAGAGAGGGAACTTGGTAACCACAGATGAGGAGAAGGTTGGAGTTCTCAATGCCTTCTTTGCCTCAGTCTTTAGTGGGAAGATGGCTTGTCCTCAGGCCAACTGTCCTGCTGGGTTGGTAGATGGTGTCAGAGAGCAGAATGGCCCCTCTATTATCCAGGAGGAGGCAGTCAGAGAACTGCTGAGACACTTGGATATTCATAAATCCCCCTATTATCCAGGAGGAGGCAGTCAGAGAACTGCTGAGACACTTGGATATTCATAAATCTATGGGACCAGATGGGATCCATCCCAGGGTGATGGGGGAGATGGCAGATGAGCTTGTGAAGCCGCTCTCCATCATTTACTAACAGTCCTGGCTCACTGGTGAGGTTCCAGATGACTGGAATGTGATGCCCATTCACAAAAAGGGTAGGAAGGAGGACCCTGGTAATTATTGGCCAGTTAGCCTGACCTCAGTACCTGGTGAGGTAATAGAGCAGTTTATACTGAGTGTCATCATGCAGGATGTACAGGATGGCCAGGGCATCAGATCCAGCCAGCATGGGTTTAGGAGGGGTAGGTTGTGTTGGACCAACCTGATCTCCTTTTATGACCAGGTGACCCACCTGGTGGATGCAGGAAAAGCTGTGGATGTTGTCTATATGGACTTCAGCGAGGACTTTGACACTGTCAGCCTGTGATAGATTGGCATTTAAGAAAAAAAGTGAAAAACACCTACGGAAATTAAGGCTGCTGGAGGCTGATGGGAGTTTTTTCTCCTGACCAATAACTGGCCATTTCTGAAAATTGACAGTAGTTTTGACCATTGAAAAGTGGAATCAACCTGTGAACATGTGGCCTGGGCAGGGGCTGGGCTGGGCCTGCCGTGGCTCCTGGGCAGGAGATGGGGTCTGTGGGGCTTCTCCCGGGCCCAGGCCAGGCCGGGCTCTGCTGCAGCCTCCTGGGAAGCCTCCGGAGTGGCTGAAGCTTTTCCCAGGGGGGTCCCCAGCTCTGAGCACCATGAGCTGAAACCCTGAATACCTGCAGCTTGAGCAAGATTTTAACCCTTTCACTACCCAGATGAGACTTG